CTTGTGTCCTATGTTTTTCTATTGTTAAATATAGTTGCTGATCACATAATTGTACGACATAAATTTTACATGAATGTAGAACACATTTTAATCAGTAGACAAAAATGTAATATTGTGGTGCATTTTCCTTTTGTCTTTTCCTTTTTCAGAGGGGAGAAGACTGTTGGGGGGGGGGGGACCAGCCTATGCTTGTTTCTCTAACAGGTTAATTCATTAAAGCACTGGGGCCCCAGAATGAAATCTAAGTTTCTGGCAGACAGACAAGTCCCTGTGGGATTGCTGAGAGTAGGACCTCCCATGGCATTCTAGACAGCCAGCAAAATGATGGGGAGGGGACCTCTGCTGTAGCAAAAAAAAAAAATGAAACAATGATTAAATACAAAACCTTGCTTACATTTACTGTACTGTATATGGTAGATCTTTCACCATCAGGAACTAGACTCCTGTGCTTTGTTGGAACTAATTCTCCATTTGAAGGGCTGTCAGTCAGTCCTGCATTTGAAAATATCCTCCTTTTGATGGACTGTCAAATCCAAGTCTTAAAATATCAACACACTCTGAGAAAGAAGACCAGGACCTTGAAGTGGTTGGACTTGAAATCAAGTTTTTGCTGCCTTCCCGGAGAACCCATCCATATTTGTTTGGTTCTGCTTGGTAATGATACAAAAGTGGATAGTTCTCTAAATTCTCAATCTAGCCACCAATTTGGGATATATTGATCACCCCCTATTAGTTAGATTCAAACTCAGTCTGCTGATGAGATAGGACCTGCTATCCGCTATAACAAATTAGCAATGGGCAATAAGTTGGTCTCATTTATATCACTGTGTGCAGGAGTAGATGATAAGGAGTAGCAGTCATCTTGCTAACTGGGCTTTCCTCCAACAAATCATGGTTTAGCACAAACCCTGTGAACGCTGTCTTGGGGTATCCAGCAGCATTTTTTTAAAAAAAGATCCTTGCTTTATCTCATTTTAGCAAGGATACATATGTTTCATCTTTGTGTATATAATATATTTGTTAAAGGAAAAAAGAAGACAACACTGAGTCCTATCAAAAAAAACAACTACATTGTATCCGCACCAAAGAAAGTCAGAAGTTACTTTTTTTCAACAGTTGCATATTTCCTGTTGTCCACACGCTGTCATTTTGCTTCTTCTCCCCTTTTCCTCTTGTTTCTCTTTATCCCCTTTTTTCTTGTATTTTGTATTTTCCTGAACTTCAATAAAGTTGTAAAAAAAAAAAAAGTAACTAAATTGCTGTCCTTCCAACAGCTTTCTACGCTGGAGGTTAAGAGGGACCCCAGAGGGGTTTGATTGGTGTAACTGTTATTAGATCCATGACCAGGTGTGGGAAGTCTCTCAAGAATACAGGCCAGAAAAGCAGGCTAGAGGCTTCTAAAGATGTTTTGCAACTTGTGTGGAAAAGCCCCACAGCAGACAGTTCCCACCCAGAGCCAACGTGGAGGTTTGCCCTCTCCGGAACAAACCTGCCATTCCAATGGCTTCCCTCTTCTGCCCCGGAATGACGGCCTGGGATGTGTGTATTCAGCTGGATCTCCACCTTCCTGGGACAAGAGGTTGACACAGTTGACCTCCCTCTGTTTTTCCTGCCCTTAACATGACACCTTGGTTCTCTTCCCCTGCTCTGCCACACTGGAGGCAAACCTCTCCGATGTAGGTCAATTCCTGTCAACAGAATTCATTTCCTGCTGCTCATCATCTAAGTAAGAGCATTATTTTTGAAGGGCTGCCAATGAGGGGAGGCAGGCAGCCCCATTTCTGGATTAAGAGAGACCTCCAAGAAGCTCTTTTGATGGATGTTCGCCTCGTAACATAACACCCCAAGTGGTTAAAAGCTCAGACGAGATTTTTTTTCTTCTTCTCGCCCGAGATGGTTTTTCAATTTTTCTTTTCTGAAAGTCAGCATTCCATGCTTATTGGCCATTCTTAGTGCCTTTTGTTTTAACCACTCTGTGAGTGGTTCCTAAATATAATACAGGTATTCCTCGACTTAAAATAGTTCATTTAGCAACCGCTCAAAGTTATAACAGCACTGATACTTGCGATTCTTTCAAGAGAAGAGCAACAAAGATGACTAGGGGATCGGAGGCTAAAACGTGAAACGTATGAAGAACAGTTACAGGAATTGGGTATGTCTAGTCCAGGGGTAGGCCACCTTGGCTCTTTTATGACTGGTGGACTTCAACTCCCAGAATTCCTAAGCCAGCATGGCTCAGCTTGGAAACCTCTCTCTTTCCCCTCAACATGGCTGGCTCGGGAATTCTGGGAATTGAAGTCCACCAGTCATAAAAGAGCCAAGGTTGCCTACCCCTGGCCTAGTCTAATAAAAAGAAAGACTATGGGAGACATGATAGCAGTATTCCAATATTTGAGGAGCTGCCACAAAGAAGCACCAGAAGGCAAGACAAGAAGCAATGGATGGAAACTAACCAAGGAGAGAACCAATCTAGAACTAAGGAGAAACTTCCTGACAGTGAGGACAATTAACCAGTGGAACAGCTTGCCTTCAGAAGTTGTGGGTGCTCCATTACTGGAGGGTTTTAAGAAGAAATTGGACAACCATTTGTCTGAAATGGATGGTATAGAATCTCATGCTTGAGTAGGGGGCTGTATTAGAAGACCTGAAAAGTCCCTTCCAACTCTGATGATGTTCTATGTTTGATACCATTGTCCGAAATGGTATAGATTTGTCCGAAATGGTATAGGGTTTCCTGCCTGAGCAGGGAGTTGGACTAGAGGTCTCTTCTAACTTTATTATTATTATCATTACCTTTGTATTCAACCACCCAAGACTGTCCTAGCTGAACCCCATCCATATCACTATCTAGATCCAACCCTGCTTAGCTTTTTGAGATGATTCTGGCACTGCCACCTAGCTGGGCATCTCGGCACAGGGAGTGAAACCCCCCTCCACACACACACACACATACACACACACACACACACACACACACACACACACACACACACACGGAAAGTGTTCAATAACTACAGTGGCTGAGATGCTGACTGGGCAAGAGAGATTGCCCTACTCCAGTGGCAATATGCATGTATTTATTTCTTTATTCAATTTGTATGGCTGCCCATCTGCTATTTAGCTATTGCTCTTAGGTTTAAGGCAAAGCCTACTGCATTGTGCAGATGTGTTCCCTGGGCAGTCTGCCTCCAGTTCACAGTGTTCTCTCTTTGCTCTACCTAACCAAACACTTAGAAAAATGAGCTGCTGCCAAATGCTTTACCAGTGGGCTCTATTCCCGTAGCAGGAAGTAAAACGGTTGCTTCGCCTTGCAATAATAAGTTCATTACTGGAAAGAGCCAGAAGGGAAGTGAGGAAAGAATGAACAGCTGTAACTAAGCCTATCAGAAAGCAACTAATAGGCAGCTGGGGGTATAGCTCAGTGGTAGAGCATTTGACTGCAGATCAAGAGGTCCCCAGTTCAAATCTGGGTGCCCCCTCTTTTTTCTCTCTCTCTCTCCTCACCTTCTTCTAAAATACAATTATGTAAAATTAACTCTTACTTAACGTGCACGTGAAATGTTTTTTATCCCAAAGGCAAAGCTCCAGTGCATGCCGATAAAATACAAAGCAACCTTTTTTTCATTTTCTTTCCACTGAATAAGGGAACTGGCATTCTCCAGGGAAATAGCTTACTTTTTTTTTTTTACACAGTTTACTGATAGACAATTTGCTGATCTTTGGTTTAAGCTCAGCTGGTGGAACACAGCCCCAAAATCTATGTGAGTGTGTTTTCCTAGTCAGTTACTCCCGTCTGCTTACAGTGGGTCTGCTGAACGTTTTCTTAGGGCCACCTTAGTTTCTCTCCCTTTTCTTTCTCAGCACGCTCCCTTTCTCCCACGCTTATTCTGAGCCTTTTCCCATTTGCCATTTTACAGGGACCCCAAATTCCCTTAGTAAACTGAACTTTCCCTGGGATAATGAGATAGATAGTGGACTTAGGTCACTTTCAGTCCAGCTTCTTCTTCCTTTTTTTAAATACAATTTTAATTTGTTAAATATAGTGAAATCAATATTGTAATTTAATAATTTTAAATTTAAATTGAATATTTTTGCTTTCCACTCCTATCAAGTCCCTCCCTGAAGAGGAAGGAGAGGAGGAGACTTATCAAGAAGGTATGTCCTTGATATGGTCCTGGGGAGTTTGTTTGTTTGTTTGTTTATTTAGGTACCGATTTATCACGCAGGGCTGGGGAATTCTGAGAGTTAAAAATCCACACATCTTGGTTGGTCCTGGAGAGATCTGTCTGTCTATCATCTATCTATCTACCTACCTACCTACCAATTTATCACTCAGGATTGAGGAATTCTGAGAGTTAAAAATCCACACATCTTGGTTGGTCCTGGGGAGATCTATCTATCCATCTATCTATCTATCTACCTACCTACCTACCTACCTACCTACCTACCTACCTACCTACCTACCTACCTACCTACCTACCTACCTACCTACCTACCTACCTACCTACCTACCTACCACTCAGGATTGGGGAATTCTGAGAGTTAAAAACCCACACATTTTGAAGCTGCGAAGATTGAAAAAAAAAAAACCTCTGCTTTAGGACTGCCAAACCTGGGCTGCAAAACTCCCAACGGCCGACAGAGGGGGAACTACAAGGAGCCATTTCTGTCTCTTTGCCGCCCTCTCGTGGTGTGGGACCCTCAGGACAATCCCGTCATCCACCTGCCGAGAGCCACGTGGAACCTACAGCAAGGCGGGCGCCGCTCCCAGCGCTCTTTACTCTTTGGCACTAAAAGAGATCCTGGACATAAACCTTTCTTCGTTCAAAGTTGCCTCAGGATCCGTCCCCGGCTTAGGCCTTATTACGCATTTGACCGCGGCAGCTGACGTCACAGCCCCGGCTGCTTCGCCTCAGCATTGCGCACGTCTTGGCAGCGAAGTTGGCTAGGAGGGAGGTCAGCGTCTCGCGCGAACCCGACTCCGCGCTGAGCGGGAGCTTCTCTCTGTCCTTTTCGCAGCTCTACGGACCGCAGGTCGCGCTCCTCGCCCCGCCCCCTCTTCCTTTCCTCGTCCGCGTTGGCGGTTCGCCCTTTCGTCACTTCCGGCGCGCGCCCCTGCCGGGACCCGGAAATGGAGGATGGGTGAGGTGTCGGAATATCCCCGGCAACCGGCGATCGATCCCGGGGAGACCGCAGAGGAGGCGAGGCAGGTAAAAGAGCGGGCCGGAGGGGCGGTTGCGGCCCGGGCCCGTCTTTCGCTCTCTGGCTTCGGCTCCAGGGCGCTCCGGTAAAGGTCGGAAGGCGGCAGTCGGGTCACAGAGCTGCGGGTTGCCCCGGCTCTCGCCGCCGCCGTTGCCTGGGAGACGGGGTCCTGTCCCTGGAGCGCTCTCGCGCCTCTGCCGACCAGAGATTCAGGAGGAGCCTTGGCAGGCAAGCCCCATGGGCTTTGTGGTGGCCAGGGTTTGGACCCATCCTTGGGACACCAAGTTGATCTGTTTTCCAGAGGAGCGTAGATTACAGTTCCCATCATCCCCGGGTTGGTTTAGTTCAGGGGTAGGCAACCTTGGCTCTTTTATGACTGGTGGACTTCAATTCCCAGAATTCCTGAGCCAGCTATGCTGACTCAGGAATTCTGGGAGTTGAAGTCCACGAGTCATAAAAGAGCCAAGGTTGCCTACCCCTGGTTTAGCTGATTTCAACGTTGGCCACTTGGAAATGGGCGGACTTCAATTCCCAGAATCCCCCTGGCTGGGGAGAATGCTGGGTTGGAAACCCACCCATCTCATTGAGAAGCACTGGGGGAAAAGGCACAAAAGCACGTTCTTCTTCTTTCTTCTGCCCAGAAAGCCAGATGTCAGTGAGAAAGATTTAATTTAGCTTCCCCCCCCCACCCTTTCCTACCTTTATCTTCTTTCATTGTGGTTGATCTTAGGCCATAAAGACAGGTAGTCCTCGACTTACGACCACAACGCAGCCCAGAATTTATGTTGCTAAGTGAGAAATGTGTTAAGTGAGTTTTGCCCAGTTTTATGACGTTTGTTGCTCCCGCTGCTAAGTTAAATACTGCAGTTAAGTTAGCAACACGTTGTTGTTAAGTGAATCTGGCTTTGCTTGTCAAAAGGTTGCAAAAGGTGATCACATGACCCCGGGACACTGCAACTGACATAAATATGAGTCAGTTGCCAAGCATCCAAATCTTGATTGCTTGACCATGGGGATGCTGCTATGGCCATAAGTGTGAATAATGGTCATAAGTCCCTTTTTTCAGTGGCGTTCAGGAATATGTATAGCTTCTACTGAGAAAATGTCTTAATTTTATCACATTCATTCTGTTCTGAAATCTCTAGTTTCCCAATGGTATGGCATCTTCCAGTGTTTTCTCCATGGAACTGTTAAGGAATGCAGCTTGCATTAAACAGCTGGTGTCTTCTGTCCCAATGTTACTGTGTTTTAAAGGTAAGCAGGTATAACTTTTTAAATGTTCTATTGTGGGTTGGAAGCATATCCTAAAACCAACTGATGTTTCACTACGGGAATTATAAAATGTTTGTATAAATGGAAATTTCAATTCATGAAATCTTTGCCAGTTGGAAAACAATGAAAAAAAGACATATTTTCCAAATAATGCAAGGAACAAGATTTCCTGATTTTTTTGCTGTATTTTTAGAGCTTATAAATGTTAGTAGTGGGAAGGTTTTTGTTTTGTTTCTAAAATTCTCAGTCTAGCTCTGTTTGGAAGACAAAATTTTATAGAAAAAAAAATATTAAGCTTCAAATCTCTACAGAGTACTGTTCAGTCGAAGCTGATCACCGTTTCCTTTTTCAGATAGAATGAAAAACACCATGACTGCTGTATGCTAAGAGTGTATACGGTAATTGGAAAATAGATGTGAGATGCCTTGAGTTAGATATTATTTCTCAGTCTTATTTCTTGGGGGCAGAGGGAATAAAAGAAGCATAACTTTATGCATACCACCTTCCTGGAGGAAAAGGTGGACTATAGATATGTTGGCTAACATACATTAATTTGACTCCGTGGTGTTTCATCTCTTTTAGCTTGAGTGAAAATGCTACCTTTTAATTATTATTTTTCAGTTCCTACTTCTTCCACTGGTTATGGGGATGAATCTTGTGCCTTATGAATCTGGGCTAACCGTAAAAAGCTAGCTTTTTCTGTGGCCTAGTTGTCCTGATCAGATAGTCCCAGAAATGGGTAGGTGAGTATCCAAATCTTGGATTAGTAAAAACAAGAAAATTTGGTGGGATCAAATAAACGTCAAAATGTGTTTGATTTTTAAGTTTCAGTAGCCAGAAATATAACGTTCTTCCAGTTTTTCCCCCAAAACTTGTGAAATTTGAGATATCAATGTTTCTTAGTTATCTGATGGCTTGTGTGGCTGGCTAACAGATGAGCCATACAAAAAATAGCTTTAAGGAAGAAAGAATAATTAACTTGAATTATGTATGGTAAGCACTTGTATTAAGAGGATACTTTTCCTGCTTCTGCCAGTCTTGTTATATACAACAAAGGGCTTGTAAAGAAATGTCTCTAAATCTTGGACTGAACAGTTGCCAGGTTAACTTTTTTTTCTGAAAAGTGTTCATGTTTAGAATGAAGAGTGAGATGTTTCAAAATTTGGCTTCCAACAATTGTATCTGTGGGGTGCTTGCACAGAATTTTAGATGCAGAGGTCTTTGTTTGTTTTTTCATTCCAGGATCAGCTTCTCTTGCCTTTTTCCTGCTTCATGGCACTTCAGTATTTCCCCTGTTGGGTGTCCACGAATATTGAATACCACATTACGGCAAATTATTGTTACCGTTCTCCTTGCTGCTGCATTTTTCATATTGTATTACTCTGTTTTAAAATACAGCTCCCGGGACAAAAAGCTGCACAGGTAATCTTTGTCAAGTGGATTAAAAACCAATCCAAAGCTATACCTAACAGAATGAAACAGATCCTCTTACATTAAACTTATCCATTGTGTTAATACCCCTCCTTTTCTCTGCAGACTTAAACTGGCATAAATCTAGGTCTCGTTTTATCTCTACAATAACAGTCCTGCGAAGTAGGCTGGGCTGAGTGTTGGTGGCTAGCCCGGTGTAACTTGATGAAAGATACAGCTGAAAAGTTGAAGCTCCACATTAAACAAATGAAATGTAATAGTATAATTGCTCTCACATAGGTGTTTTCGCAACTAGCAAGTTCAGTGTGATTGACATGAGGGCTTTGTCCTGTCCTTGTTTCCTTTGGAGCGTACCTGGGTTCAGCGAGACTTGCTTCTGAGCAATTCTTCTGTTTTCTTTCCCAGGTATCTTGCACGAGTAACAGACACCGAAGCCACAGACACAAGCAACCCAAAGCTGAATTACGGCATTATGGTGGATTGTGGTAGTAGTGGATCTCGGATCTTTGTGTATTGGTGGCCAAGGCATAACGGCAACCCTCATGATTTACTTGACATCAAACAAATGCGGGATGAAAACAGAAAACCAGTGGTTATGAAAATTAAGCCAGGTACTAGGGAAAGTCATGCCAATTTCTTAGCTGCTTGTTTGCCTATTAAGAAACTCGGTCATGCCAAAGATTGGCATTATTTGTTTCTTGAAATGCAGCAGATTCTTTCTGCCTTTTTATTTGGGATCTGCAAGACCTGGGTCTCCCCATGTTTGTCCCCCTGGTTTTCATTTATTTCTTAAGATTCTTAATGCTTAAAAAAAGCTCAAAGATGCAAACAGGTTTTCGTTTTATTTATTTTATTGTTAATATTTGCATGCTAACATAAAAGGCCAAGGTTCATTCAGGACAATTTTTCACAGTATCTTACTTAAAGCAGTTGAGATTGCTCTACAGCAGTGGTCTTCAAACTTGGCCCTTTTATCACTGGTGGACTTCAACTCCCAGAATTCCACGCGTGCCTGGCTGAGGAATTCTGGGAGTTGAAGTCCACCAGTCATAAAAGGGCCAAGTTTGAAGACCCCGGCTACATAGAATGTAATTTTAAGATAGCATCCTGTATGCGTAGGCCCATGCTGTATTTTACCAAGGCATGACTTGCAATATTTTGCCTTTGACTGAATTCTCATTTTAGGTGTTAAGTGAGAAAAATACTCTCCTTATTAAAAAGTGTCTTTAGTTTCTCATGTTGATGTATAGTTAAGTATATTTATCTCTTCTTACTGTCCAGGCATTTCAGAATTTGCTACCTCTCCTGAGAAAGTTAGTGATTATATTTTCCCACTACTGAACTTTGCTGCCGAACACATACCCCGTGCGAAGCACAAAGAAACTCCTCTATACATTCTCTGTACTGCAGGGATGAGAATCTTGCCAGAGAGGTAACTTAAGTGCCTTCATTTTCTATTAATGTTTCATAGAAAGATTTGCCTGTAGAAATAGATCCTAGATTTATATTTAATCCATTTCGAACCTTGCAGCCAGCAAAAGGCAATCCTGGAAGATCTTCTTACTGATATTCCAGTGCATTTTGATTTTCTGTTTTCGGATTCTCACGCTGAAGTGATTTCAGGAAAGCAAGAAGGTAAGAATACAGGCTGGGGAAAAAAAGTAAACTTTCGTCAGGAGACTGATGGAATATGTATGGACTGTCTAGAAAAAAATGAGGAAAAGAGGCTTCATTATTGAGATTTTCTGGTAGCACTGTTTGGAAGTACTGTCTCTTCTTTTTAGTTTTGGCAAGATCAGGAGATAATTTAGGAGCAGCCTGCGTTTTGTGATCACTGAGCTAGCCAGAGTGAAACTGTCTGATCCAACAAAGAATATGGTACCAAAATGTCTTCTTTAAGACATCCTGTGCGGCCTATATTCAGCCTTTTACGCCAGCCTGAACCTGCTCATATATTTTATCAAAGTGTGCAAGAAAAGCAGATGCTGTTATCTGTTTTCATAAGATAATATAACCTTTATTGTCATTTTTTTTACTGTGGGCACAACAGCACACAGCACACATCAAAAGTGAAATTTAGTTGCCCGCTCTCAAGTGAAACATACATGACACACGCCTAAACATACTGTGAACAACATACGTATAGACCCACACCCCTACATATACGGAGCAAATAAATATTAAATGTTGGATGAATTTTGTGCAGGTCCTGATATTAAAGGGACACACAATAAACATCTGCAATGAAGGAACCTCTACATATGTAACTATTATGTGCAAAGAGTTTCACATGAGCTGGAACCTGACTTATGCAGGATTATGGTAATATTCAATGATTTTGGTACTGTTTTGTTTCTGTTAAGGTGGTGTTGTTTTTTAAAAAAACCCAGTGATATTAAAATATTTAGAAATGTACCTTCTACATTTTATCTAGGAGTATATGCCTGGATTGGCATCAACTTTGTCCTTGGAAAATTCGAACATATGGATGAAGGTAAGGACCTTAATATTAATTAATTCCAAAAATTGCTAAAATATGTAACACTACCAGTAATTTATCTCAGAGGTCCCCAAATCCTGGGCTGCAGCCCACTACCAGACCATGGCCTATTTGGAATTGGGCCACGTGAGTGGCTGGCTGGAGCGTGCCCATGCTTGCAGCTCAACTTCACAAGTGGTAGGCCGACGGACGAATGTGCACAGTGCAGCTCATGCAAGGGCTTTGTTCCCATGTATGCCGGCCCACTGCTCGTGCGGCCTAGTTCCCCTTCCCCTCCAGCTGGGCCGCCGAGCTTCAAAGGTTGAGGACCACTGATTTATCTGATGTTGTTAGTGCACAATTTCCTTCCTTCACTGGCTTTATTCACATGCCGTATTTTTCCGTGTAAACAACGCTATTTTTTCCTGCAAACACCCGGTTCAAAAATCAGGTGCGGCGTCTTATACATGAAAAAAATAATGGTAACCTCTGCAGCCCAGGGTTTTTTTGGGTTCTTTACATGCTGCTGCCAACATGCTGCTGCCCTCCATCTTTCCCAGCATCAGGCTCTTCTCCAGTGAGTCCGTCCTTCTCACTAGGGGGCCAAAGTATTTGAGTTTCAAGTTCAGGATCTGGCCTTCTAAAGAGCAGTCGGGGTTGATCTCTTCTAGGACTGACTGGTTTGAACGCCTTGCAGTCCAAGGGACTCGCAGGAGTCTTCTCCAGCACCATAGTTCAAAGGCCTCAATTCTTTGGCACTCAGCCTTTCTTATGGTCCAACTTTCACAGCCATACATTGCAACTGGGAAAACCATGACCTTGACTATACACACTTTTGCTGGCAGGCTGATGTCTCTGCTTTTTAGTATGCTGTCTAGTTTTGCCATAGCTTTCCTCCCCAGGAGCAAGCGTCTTTTAATTTCTTGGCTGCAGTCCCCATCTGCGGTGATCTTGGAGCCCAGGAAGATAAAGTCTGTCACTACCTCCATTTCTTCCCCATCTATTTGCCAGGAATTGAGAGGGCCGGATGCCATGATCTTGGTTTTCTTGTACAGGACTCCCTGTACAATACCACAAAAATGGAAACGATGCCCTGCCCTGTTTTCAGCAGCACCTCTCCCCATCTTGCCTTCCAGAGGACGAAGCAGTCGTGGAAGTGCACGTTCCTGACAGCGAAAGCAAAGAAGAAGTTGTCCGAAAGAGGACCGTGGGTATACTTGACATGGGTGGTGTTTCAACTCAAATAGCGTACGAAGTCCCTAAAACTGTAAGCTTTGCCTCTTCACAGCAGGTTATTATCTGTACAACTTTCCTTCTTTTTTTTTTCTTCCCTGCATTTTAACCCATATCCATTGATTCGTTTTCTTTTGCACGGTGTGAGTCCTGTGCCCCGTGGTGTGTGAGCCATTCACCCCGCCTGAAGAGAAAGCAGTTGAACTTCTGAGCCCCATCAGCTAAGCAATCCATAAACGTTACTTTCCATTTTCATCAGCCAGTGTGTTAGCAATGTGTTTATTTATGACGCAGAGTTTATGCGGATAAATTTTGCCCTTGAAATGGTCGTTTTTATACTGTACATAGTCAATAGAAAATTATGCACTGTTAACTAAGCTTGCGGTCCCCGTTTGATGCAATTTCTTAATGGTTGACAGGTCGCGGAATACCTTTTTAAAATTGTTAATTCTAAATGTAAATATTGTCAGGAATATATCTATAGGAACTGTTATTTGTATGCTATACATGTCAATGTATGTATAGCAGTATTCAGTATAAGGAAAATCCTGACCTACAAGGATGAGCCAAACCAGCCTTTTGAGCTGAAAAGGAAATGTTGGATTCACTCATCATGCTTAGCCATTACATGGTTTAGTGTTGGCTTAATTGGATGTGTAAATTCCAACTGTTGTACTTTATTGAATGAATCATGGTCAAATAGTCAAAAGTTCAGTACAGTGTGGGAGTTCACATTTTTTTTTTTTTTTTTGCTGTTTTACAAGAGGAAAAAATAACCTTTTTTAGTACCACAGATTTTTCTAACCTATTACAGTAGTACCTCAGTACTGACCGTTAATTGGTTGCAGGAGGCAGGATGAGTACCAAACAAATTTTTCCCATAAGGAATAATGTAGTAATCACAAGGCAGCCGACACCGACAAATTCTAGCTTGTGCTCTGAGTACTAAACAAATGATGAGTACCAGGACAGAATTTTCACATGCTTTGAACATGATCAGTCAAAACACTATAAACAGTGGATTCATTTCTTAATTATGGTTTTCATATTCAAAATCATCTAACCAGTGTTTAGAAACAAAATTCCTGTTAAGCACTATAGCTACATAGGACCTTTAGAGCTACATCTATGTAGAATAGACTTGATCTGCGACAGAAGGCAAGAGAAATCCACAGATTTTGAACATCAGATGCTCTTTGTTTTTAAGATTTTGTCAGAATCTGTGGCTTGAATCTGTGAAACCTCAGCTTTTTTCAGTTTCTATCTTTGGGTTCAAAAATAAAGCTTGTCTTGGTTCCAGAATAAGGTGCACCAAGAATATTTCAATTGCTTTCTGTGACATTTATTTAAATAATAGTTTCACATTCTTGCCACAAATCAAAGATCACATTTAAGTCAACTTTTGAAAGAACAGATGTTCAAAGTCTTTTCATTTCTTAGTCGGATAGTTCTATAACTTTGTTTTATTTGCATTGGTATATTTGGTACAAAGAGCCAGTTTGATGTAGCGATTAAGGCTTCAGACTAGAAACTGGGAGCCTGTGATTTGTAGTCCTGCTTTAGGCATTATGCCAGTTGGGAGATTTTGATCCAATGACCAGGGAACTGGGAGTCCTGCTATAGGTATGAAGCCAGCTGAGTGATCTTGGGCCAGGCCCTCCCTCTCAACCCTAGGAAGCAGACAATAGTAAACCCACTTTTATAAATTTATTATTATTAAAAATTACTGTAGAGGAAGGAAAGATGCAATACTTACTAGCGTAGTCTGTACGGCCATGTGCATAGCTATCCCTGTAGTTGACAAATATTTGGGCATCGGTGTTGTTTCCATTGTGCAGGGCCAGCAAACCAGTGTCTTTCCAGATACATTCTTTTGTATTAGCTATGATGGTTGGAGCTGTTGGAAGTTGCCCCCGACAACATCTCGATGGCCACACTTGTCCCATCCAAGGGTTACTGCTCAGGTGTTTACTATAAACAACTGTGGCCAGGAATAATCTTGCACAAAAGGTTTTGAAACCCACCGAGCTGAAAGTGGTTCTTGACTAAACAAAACCTGGGGAATGAAAACGACAGAGCAGAATTTTGCCTCTCAACCTCTTTCTTTGATGGCTGGCAGGAGGAGGTGGCCAAGAACCTACTGGCGGAATTCAACTTGGGTTGTGATGCTCATCAGAGCGAACATGTGTATCGCGTCTACGTGGCAACGTTTCTGGGCTTTGGCGGGAACGCTGCTCGGCAGAGATACGCAGACAACATATTCACCAGCACAATATTGAGAAACAGGTGCTGTAGTGTAATACATTTGCTTCCAAATTATAACTTGTCTGAAATGCTTCGCATAAAATGTCTGAAACGGGCGCTTGCCAAAAAAATGGAGATTATATCTCCACTCTTAAAATGCAGCATAAGCGAGGGTTGGCTAATGATGACTTGAGGCTACGTGAGTTATTACAATTGGTTGTCACGTCCGGCTGCAGAAGGCAAAAGTCTGTTTACACAGTTGATGTCAATTGTTTTCTGCAGTTGCTAATCCCAAGATCGTGTGTATGAAAGCAATTCAGTGTTTACAGGAAAGGTCCAGATGTTTTTGTTTTTCAAGATGTTTCTCTGCCACGTCTCTGCCAATTAGATCGTTGGCTTTTCAGAATTAAAACATTCATCAAATGACAACGACACGGCAACAGCAAGGTGTAAACTAGGATAAAAAAAAACTGCATCAAAGGTAGCACGGTTGTCTTCATTCTAATTAAGTACGTTACCAGGAACTATAAAATAAAACTCTTCTCTGGATGCCAAAACGTAAGAGCTAAATTGGGGGCTGGGAAGCTTTTTATATGAAAGGCCATAGTTCGGTTGGGGGGAAAAAAATAACAGCTGGAAGTAGGAATTGATAGTAGATGGTGTCAGACCCACACCTTTGGGTCTCCTGTCATTGGGCTAGTTGCTTGGTTTGGAGAGCTGTAGCTACCAGCCCCAACATCGTTCCTTGTGGCTTAGAATTATGACTGAGTCAGATGAGCATGGCTTGTTCAAGCAAGAAATAACCCATGGCTTCTTGATTTCCCAAATATAACTAATGGTGGGAAGAACCCAACCTGGCAAGGAAGAGGGCCCAAGTACAGAACTGGAGTCACTGCACAACTGCAAAAGGACTAAGACTTACTCCCCACCCCACCCCTCAAATTCCCTGAAGTCTTGTTTGCTCCCAAGAGAAGGCTGCTATAATACAGAAGGCTATAATACAGGAGAGATTCCTGTATTATAGGCAAAACAAATAAAGTAGTTAGCTTGAACTCTGCACATGTGAGCCTGGTTGTTCGCACCTATCTCTATAATTGAACTGCAGTGATTTGGCCTAGATCAGGGGTAGGCAACCTTGGCTCTTTTATGATTTGTGGACTTCAACTCCCAGAATTCCTGAGCCAGCATGAGGGAAACTTTGGCCCCTTCATGACTGGCGAACTTCAACTCCCAGAATTCCTGAGCCAGCATGGCTCAGCTTGGAAATCTCTCCCTTTCCCCTCAGCATGGCTGGCTCAGGAATTCTGGGAGTTGAAGTCCACCAGTCATAAAAGAGCCAAGGTTGCCTACCCCGGCCTTGATGGTTATGCTCTCCTATTCCCCGCCCCCTCCCCACAAAAGAATATATTTTTGTCAGGACAGAAGAATCAGGTTCCATCTTTCTAATTGAGACACAGCTCCCTTTGGCTGTTCCATTGATTGTCCTTCGATCAATTCTGCTTGCAGGCTTCTTGGTAAACAGATCGGCCTGACCCCTGAGACTCCCTACTTAGACCCTTGCCTGCCCTTAGATGCCGAGGACGAAGTCCAACAAAATGGGCAGATTCTGTATCTTCGCGGGACGGGAGATTTCCACCTGTGCCGTGATGTCATCCAGCCTTTCATGAACAAGACCAACGAGACGCAAACGTCGCTGAACGGCATTTATCAGCCGCCCATCCACTTCGAGAACAGCGAATTCTACGGTTTTTCCGAGTTCTACTACTGCACCGAGGACGTCTTAAGGATGGGAGGAGATTACAACGCTGCTCAGTTCCTCAAAGCTGCAAATGTAAGGCCGCAGGCCTTCCGCTTCCAGGTTTGGCTGAGAAATGGAGAGTAACTTCAGCCCGACAAGGAAATCTAACCCGATCTTCACATATAAGCAGGCCGCACAATAAAACCCCCAAATTAACACATTCTGCAACGTCAGAATGTCTGCCGTGTCAGAATGTTATAGTCTCTCGTATGGTAATATTTTAAAAGCCTCTTTATTGTATATAGTGTGCCAGAAGTAACAGGGCAGTCAAAATTTGTCAATAAATCAGGAAATAAATAGTTAAGATGATAACTCATCTATATATAGGAAATAATAATGATAATAAAATAGAAACCAGAATAACTGAGTGGTTAACTGATCAATTTTGAGCAACTGCACTATTACATCTGGGACATCCTGTATGTGCATTTATATAAATAACCTGTGTATATTTATTTCCGTAATGTTTTTCCTCAGGAATATTGTGCTACAAAGTGGTCTATTCTACGGGAAAGATTTGATCATGGCCTGTATGCATCCCATGCAGATCTCCATCGACTGAAGTAAGCGTTCACATTCTTCTGTGTCTAAATGTGGTCAAACAGTCCTTGCCAGAGAGAGACCCCAAAGTAAATTCCTTAAGTAATTGTTTCAAGGAAGCCAATATTTTGATTCCCCCCCCCCAAAAAAAAATCTCTGAGCTGTTGAGCACTCTTAAAAAGAATGTAAAGAAGCTATATATTCACTATGTGAATTTGATTTACACAATTCAATATTATATGATTAATTATTTTCATCCAAAATTTTGCTTTATTTAAAAACAAGTCACTATTGCACAATTTGTGTCAGCATAATTTGCAACAAAATCTAGAAACACACCAAGACATCTTTTTCCCAAAACCCAAAGTCTTGCTTTCTTTTTTGCAACTTTGCTTTATGCATGGTTTTTATACAAAATAATCCTAACATAAACTGAAAGAAGCTTATGACAGATGATAGATAAGCGATAAATAGGTAGATAGATAGATAGATAGATAGATAGATAGATAGATAGATAGATAGACAGACAGACAGACAGACAGACAGACAGACAGACAGACAGACAGACAGATAGGGATGGCAGACATATATGTATTTATTTTCCTTTTGGTACAATTATGCCTCTTTTTGGTCACCAGGTGGCTTCCTTTCCCACTATATAAAAAACAAGTGATGAATGAATGGGAAGCGAATTATTTTCCATTTCTGGAAATCAGTGGTGTTTTGATAATACATGCACATATCCTGTCTATCCACAGACTAAATTGGTTATTATTAATTATCACAAATCATAAACGTGCTTTGCACTTACTGAAATAATCAGAAAAACTGCCTGTGCTAACTCTGCTGAAAAGTTCGCCTCCTTGAAAGCCAGCTCCACTGTCGGTTGTTTGCAGCAAGCTGCGTGAGAAGGACTTCTAAGTTTTCCCCTGACACTTTTCATTCCTTTTCATTAACGTAGGAGCCCCCCCCCCCATAGGAGGGCTTTCTCTTTTGTCATCTCAGAGCTTAATTAGCCCTTCTAAGGAGGCATCTAATTATTTTGGACTGAATCCAGAGCATGTGTGCATAAATCCTGGTAACAACAGCGGGCTCTTGAATGTGCAATTAAGTGCTTAAGACGGGTGGAATTTAGCTCATTCTTCTTTCGGATTGTGCCATTTAGCTCTGTCCCAGTTGAAATAATAACCCCATTTGGATACGTCGCTTATGTTTATTCTCTGCAGGTATCAGTGCTTTAAGTCAGCCTGGATGTACGAGGTATTTCACAATGGCTTCGGTTTTCCCATGAACTACAACAACCTAAAAACAGCCCTTCAAGTATACGATAAAGAGGTGCAGTGGACGTTGGGGGCCATCCTCTACCGAACCCGGTTTTTACCTTTGAGGTACACCTTTAAGGCGTTACCCCATTACCTGTGAAATTCGAAGGCAGCTTTAATCATGTTCTCCAGAAAGTTTCGCATTTGTTTTGACTTTCAAGCCGAATGGAGAACCAATGCAATGCTTATCAGTAAGGTGGATGGAAGTCGGCTCAGAGGGCAGAAAATTCTGTTTGGTCCTCTCAATTTGCCTGACACCATTCTTGCTGGGGGGTCCTTGGTGTTCTCTGAGCTTGCTTTTCTTCTTGCAGATGTTTCATTACCAAACTAGGTAACATCATCATGCACTAAGATTGCCACAGTTCAACCCTGAGCTTCAAATATTCACGTTCCTTTCTACTCGTTTTTCTAGCCATTGATCAAAATTATCCCATGTCCTAAAATATACTGAATCTTATTTCTCTTTTGTTTTCGATGTCAATCTGTCCATTTCTGCACAATCTAAGATTTTCTTAATTAACTCTACAAATATTCTGTTGTTTCCATTCTTGGTGCTGTCCTCTTGAGATCCATAAATGCTCTTTAGCTCTTGATTGTTGGCCATGCAAATAGGGAAAAAAGAATTGGTCTTCATACCTGTTGGCATCACAGGAACACTCGCCTGCTTGGAGTAGAAATTTCCTCTGTAAGTTCTAAGACAGGGATGTCCCATCCTTTTTCTGCCAAGCAGCCTGGAAGAATAATTTGGAGCAGTGGATTATATGATGATGATTGATGTGTAGAACTGCCTGTTTCTTTTTGGGGCATGCCTTTCCCCCCCCCCACCTAACAAGCTGCTAAGCAAGGATGAAATTCCTCTTGTCCTAAACACTGGAATTTAGGCTACATCAGGCTGTGGGGTGCCAGCCTTCCCATCTAATAAATGTTTGTGCAGGAGAATTCTTTCCCAAATGAAAACTGGCTTCCAATAAGACTCTGGGTATAATTCAAAGCTTTAATCAATAAGGCCTAAATGACCTAACTCCCAGGTACCATCAGAGCCAACTTCTCACATGCTGGGCAAACCACAAGTCTTAAAGCTGTCAAGATTGGACAACCCCAAACTTGGGTCCACTTTTTCATTGAATGCTCTGTTTTATGTTATTGTCGTTATATCTGTCATCTTTATGGATAATTTATGCTCGTTGTTCATCACCAGGAGCCTTTGGGATCACAGTGATCTCTGAAACAAATAACAAAAGATTCTTTAAAAAAAAAGTCTTTTTGTGGCTTTCTAACAATACGCCTTATGCTCAGGTTAGCGAAACCTTTGAGAAATCTGCAGGGATGCATCAAGGCATGCTAAGTTGTCGGGTTGTTGGGTTGTTGTTATAGAGCAGAACCATCTCTTTCATCCTCTCCTCTCCTCCTCTCACAGAGACATCCAGCAGGAGAATTTCCGAGGCAATCACCCCCACTGGCGCAGCTTCGCCTTCGTTTACAACCATTACTTGTTCTTTGCCTGCTTCTTCGTGGTGCTGCTCTCCATCCTGCTCTACCTGCTGCGGCTGCGGAGGATCCACCGGCGAATTCTGCACAGCGGCTCCTCCCCTGCCCTCTGGATCGAAGACGGTCTCCCGCCTCAGAAGATCCCCGGAGGCTTATAAGCTGCTGACTGAATCTCAGACCCTTCCTCTCAGGATTTCTCTCGCGCGCCTTTGGAGAGCCATGCCTGAGCCCCCCCGGTTGCAGTCTTGGAACCAAGAGGTGGAATTTCCCTCTCTGGAGGATTGTGGGAAAAGCTAGGTCAAACTTGGCTTGACAAGGCTGGGGGACTCTCCGCCAAAATTATTTTAAAGCTCTTAACTTTGAAAGCAAATGCACTTTGACTTAGGGACGGGGACGGGGGGGGGGGCAGGCTGAAACGCAGGAGAATGCAGTGAAGACTTTGTGCCAGTACGTGAAATGGGAAAGTCGCAAAGAACTCTATGTTCTGTAACTGTTGATGGGCTTGTTCTCTCCTTTTGCTGTAAGTCTGCTGGTGATGTTTTCCGGGATCTGAATGGTGGTTTGCTTAACCGACTCTTCTGGGCTGCCGGTTCACTTTTCCTTGCCATGTTCTTGACCGCCACAGAGGAAAGGCCACTTCAGTCTCCTCCTGCTCTGATTTGAATAGCAGCAGAGACTTTAGCGTTTTACTTTCAATTATTTATTTCAAGCATTTTGACTCTTTCCTTTCTCCCAAAAAAGAAATAGCTTAAATAAGAGGGTAGATAGATCAGTAACAAGGCAGCCCTTGCCGCTACGGTCTTAAAAACATGGCACGGAAGGGGAAAAAAAAAATTGGATTACCAGTTCTCAGTTCTAATGTGACCTCTCATTTTGAATTATGGGTGTCCAACCTTGGCAACTTTAAGACCTGTGGACTTTTTAAGACCTTGCTGGCTGGACATTGAAGTCCGCAAGCCTTAAAGTTGCTAAGGTTGGACCTCTGTTCTAACAGGACCACGAATAGTGAAAGCTCAGTCTCAAAAAAAGTTGGCAGTCCCGTCTGTGAAGATGTAAAATTCCCGTCCTTGCAAAATGGCCTGCTAAAGAAAGCCTGGCAGGGCGTGGTGTTTCACTGCTGTTGGAAATTGGAGGATCATATTGCACAGTCAACCTCCCTGGAGTTTTCCTGTGTGCGTGTGCGTGTAGCAGTTGGTCTGTGTTCGGAACTTTGTGTGCGTGCACCTATGTGGCATTCTTATGGTCTGACTGTCATTTCAAATGTTTGTGATAATAGAGATTTGGGAGGGGGGTGGGTTTGGGAAAAACCTGAGTAGCAGTGGAATGATAACAAATATGCTGTTACTTTCTTATTTTGGGATAACAAAGCCTTTTTTTTTTACTTGAAAAGAAAAAGTGTGTCCGTGGTTGAAAACAACATTGATGTGATTGTCTTATGAAACACAAGATTCCATCGTCCTAGAAACCCACCTCTGGTTTGTGAAACGTTGCTCGAACAGTACCTGTTCCCAGCTATTGAAGATGGGGAAAATAAAAAGACACATTAAAAAAACGTGAATAAGTTCGCCAACATTCCATGAAAATGCAGAGATCCTGTGGCCCCAGTGGTTGATGGATCTCTAGGAGACATGAGGCTGTTGCCCCAGACCTTTTTTAGTTTTTGCAGACAAAGAACGTCAGCTTCCTTGTTCCTTTCTTTTCTTTTTCTTTACTTTTAATTTTGTTCTGAAGGCTCTCCACCTTGCTCTTAGAAAATCTGATTCCCATTTGCCTTCAGAAAATGCCCCAGGCCGCCTTTGTGAACATTTTAAGCATTTGACAACAGATGTTGCGCACTGTGAGGGAGCAGGTTCTCCTACTCATAAGAAGCTGCCTTTTTCAAATAGCGAAACATCCGTGTGTTTGGCATTTAGAGCCTGAAGTCTTGACTAGGGCTCCTTCTAACGAACACAGTCATGATTGCTAATTTCCTAGGGATGTGGTTTTCGCGGCAGCCTACATTGTTTTCATCCTAAAGTTACATGGCCTATAGGAAATATGTTAACTTAATTTGACAGTGGCAAATACATTCCGGGAAGTCAGTGAAGACTCTTGAAGTAAAACTTAATTAAAGTTTAATTAAGTCCTGTCCTTGGATCACTCCAGCCCAGAGAATGCCGCCTCTTGCGGGCATCCCATTTTGGTTACCTTAGAGCAGGGGTAGGCAACCTTGACTGTTTGATGACTTGTGGACTTCAACTCCCAGAATTCCTGAGCCAGCCACGCTGAGGGGAAAGAGAGAGGTTTCCAAGCTGAGCCATGCTGGCTCAGGAATTCTGGGAGTTGAAGTCCAGGAGTAATGAAGGGGCCAAAGTTTCCCTCATGCTGGCTCAGGAATTCTGGGAGTTGACGTCCAGGAGTCATAAAAGAGCCAAGGTTGCCTACCCCTGCCTTAGAGGTAGTTGCTGTTTGGAGTTCCTTTCCAAGATGATTGTTTAAGCCTTTATTTAGAGTTATTTAACTTATCACAACCCAGCCTTTAAAAGTCTACACAAATGTGAACTTTTGGGATAATTTAGCACATATCCAAGACAAAAAAAAAGCATGGAACTGTTGTCCAATGAACTAAGTAGCTGTTTTCTGATCCCAAACCATCTCTAGAGATTCACTATCTTCAATAGTGAAAGTCAACATTGTTGACATAATATTGTGTCTCAGTTTTTAGCGAGATGTCCAGGCCTTGTGATCAGGTAGTCTCCTCCCTCAAGGACTTAACATTTAGATGTTTGGGTATGTACTAAACAAGCTTTGCTTTCTTCCTGGAGAGTCATAAGTACAAGATCTATTGGCAAGGAAGAATGCAAAGAAGAGATTGGAGCTGTCATTCTTCTAGCCTTTAGCAATGACCTTGTTGGCCAGGTGAGGGGCTGGTGTCAGCTCAGCCACTTAGCCATACTCATCAAATGGTTTTGTTTTGTTTTGTTTTGCTCCCTGGCTTGCCAAACAGGTCCTGATCAACCACTGCCAACAATTTCCTTGGACAGAGCTCTCCAATAAAGTTAGATTCTCCTTTTCATTTATTCCAGGACCCTTTTTAAAAAAGATGGTTTGAACAAAAGAATTCAACTAGTGAAAACCTACCAAAAACAACCTAACAGAAAGGCTAGCCCAAAAAAAAAAGAAAAAAAATATTAGTTTGCTGACAAGCATGGTCCAGGGCATTCTGTCCCTCCTTACCTAGGCCATTGTTGCTCTTTAATGATGCGTGGCAAACCCTAAGAGGAGTTTGCCCTGCAACAGGAGCGCGTTCTTCAGAGAAAAATCATAATAGACCAAATACTCTGCGGAGCTGTTTTCGCAGATAACTTTGTTTCGAAGGACTTTACCCGAAATGTTCCTCAAATGTTATGCAGTCACACAGACTTACTTGAAAACAGCAAGACAGGGTTTGTTAAGTAGTCTTTCAACTGATATTTCTCAGGGCCAAGCTTCCTTTCAGCCATATTAGTGTATCATTTGTCACTTGCAGCAGGGACAACCAAATGCCGCTTCCATCTCCCATTGTGTGATGAGATACTGGTCAATATACTGATACTATACACGATACCTTTCTCCCCCAGAGAATTTCCGTAATGAAAATTGAGAGATTCCTCTACATCCAGTTTTGAAAACATTTTAATGGCATTATAGAGAGACACAGTTCCTGACTTCCGGTTCTTTTCATAATAGGATAATAGAATAATAGAATAGTAGGGTTGGAAGCAACCTGATCAGATTTTTCACAAAAGGAATGTTCACACTATTGTATGAGCATTTTCTTAATTATTATTTTTTTGCCAAAGAACATTAAAAGTACATAAAATGCTATTAATCAATTTTGGTACATCAGTGCACATGGCATTACTTAAAATCTTTAAGACAGCTGCAAACACTAGGGTTTTTTTTAAACTGTTAGTAAATAGCAATAGCACTTAAACTTATATACTTCTTCATAGAGCTTTACAGCCTTCTCTAAGTAGTTTATAGAGTCAGCCTATTTGCCTCCAGCAATCTGGGTCATCATTTTACCCACCTCGGATGGATGGAAGGCTGAATCAATTCTGAGCCAGTCAAGATCGAACTCCTGACAGTGGACAGAGTTAGCCTGCAATAGTCCACTCTAACCACTGCACAGTAAATCTAGGTAAGATAGGCGGCACACAAATTTAATAAATAAATAAATGAGTATAAAACAGCACTGCTAAGTTTACACCTCAGCACTAGCTTGATTATCCCTTTATGAATTTTGCTGGAAAGCGGACTCTGCCATAAGCGCAGAAACACAACTAGGAAGAAGAAGATTTAAAGAAATACTAAACATCTTTAGACGACCTATTTTGATTATCCTTAACTGGATCAAATTCAGCTTCTTCATTAGTGCTTACTCAGCAATTTCACTCTGGGTTCTTTTCAATTGTAAAAATGCTTTTGAATTTTGAACAAGAGGGGATTATAATCAAACAGCTGGAATTTATTGTATACTGTAATTTCTATGTGGATATGGTTCTCCATCTATTGGCCAGTATAAGAACATAATTAAACACTAGTATTATCTCTTGCTTGGGAAATATTTAAAGTTAACTGATCAGATATATTGTTCCCACCATCATTTTGGCTTCAGTTGTCAAATTACACAAGCCAACAGCTTCAGTGAGGTCCAGCTCTTAACGGTAACCATACTATAAGCTACAAGCAGGTAAATGATTGTGGAAAAAATAAAACTGTGTGCATTTAGTAGTGCTTGAGTCCAGGGGTGTAGTTTGCTCATCTGAAAAGGTGTCAACATCTGCTACAAGAATGAAGCCAAAATTATAGCAGCATAACATTGCAATCGCAAGATTCTGCCTTTCGGGGCACAATATCTTGAGTTGACACAGTCTTTTAAAATAAATAAGTTCCTAAATAAAGGTACATTAACGCAAGTGCGCACAGCGCTCAGCTTAACAATGGCCAGCTTGGGAGATGGAGTTCAAGCACAAACAACATTCCTTCATTGCCAATTGTTGCCACATCTCATTGTGTGAAGACTTTTTGGTCCTGTTAGTGATGCTGTTGTCTTATCCTATATTATTTGTGGAAATATCTCTGCTCGAACCAGACCAAAGATCTTGAGCCAACTCTTCATATCTCATCTAGAAGATTACATTGACAAAGAATACAACACCCCAGCCAGATTATTTCAAAGGTATCCCTTTTTTTTCTTCACACGAAACCTTTTTTTTTTTTTCTTCACACAATGTTCCTGCTTGAGATTTAGCCTAAACACGCTTCAGTTACATGCCTTTTTGGGTCCTCTAAAACTCTGTTCCATAAGCAATGAGGGTGACTTTTTTTGAGGTTTCATGTACTGTCCAACTCATCTCATTCCGTAAATTGGAACTGATTTGTGAGCTCTAGTCAGCCTTTGAAATTCAGACTTCTGAAATTCATTTTACAATTTAAAAAAGGACACAGAGAAATATAAGCACAAAGGTAGTTTCTTCCTCTATGCCATCTCTCTGCTAAACATCGAACTTCTACAGCACTGCTTTTGCCTAAAGATATTTACCCATGTAGTAGGACGTATTGCTGTTATCCTTCTCATCTTCTCATTTTTCTCACCTCTCACCTTTCCTATTACCTTCTCCTATTGGTATATCATGATTTAACAATCGTTTGTATTTTATGATTTGTGATCTATGACTTAGCACTCTGTTGTTTTATGTACACAGAAAGCTTATGCACTGAAGCCAAATTCCTTGTGTGTCCAATCACCCTTGGCCAATAAAGAATTCTATTCTATTCTATTCTACGCTACTCTACGCTACTCTACTCTACTCTACTCTACTCTACTCTACTCTTCTGCAGCCATCCCACTGCATTCTGCACTGAACAAACTGATGAGTTGGCTTGCAATCAGAAATCAGATTCCAGAAACAGGAGAGGGAGACTCAAGTGTTCAGGAGGCTGGTGAGATTAGGACAGGATTCCCAAAAGGAACCGTCACTTGCTGTGTTGTCTCATTTGCTCAACCCTTCACGTGCCACCCTTCCACTCTCTTGCTTCTCCTGCTCTATGGCCTGGCCCTTTGTGGGAGTTTTATCACCTTAGACAATGGCTGTTGTTTGCTGACGTAGAAGATCCCACTTTGGCTAGGGATTAGCAGCATCACAAACTGGTTAAGTTAATATAGTGTCATTTTAAATTGCTGTGGCTTAAATGCCGGCAGCCAAAACACAATTTAAAATGCCCTTGAGAGGATAGCAAACTACTCTTTAGCCACACAACTTTAAAACAGATGTTCATTGGAGCTGCATTTAAATTCCTCAAGAGATTCTATTCCAGTTCCTATAGGTAAAACAACTTATCACCCAATGTCAGAATCTGCACCAAGACCCACCATTTTTAATGGATGGTTGCAATCAGTCGGTAATTACCTCTATCTTTCATACATTTGTATGTTGCCATAATGTTTCTTTTCTTTTTTTAAGTCTCCCCATCATTAACTGGGTGCCCAGATTGTGCCCTTCTGTCAGCTAGATGACAGTGAAGAGTTAGTCATAGCTTCAGCCTAGTGTTTCTAGATCTATCTAGTTGGAGTTCTTTAGCCGATATTTGACTATGCTAATCTTAGACTTTTTCTGTATAGGTAGCAAGAAAGGCTCCATGCATTTGGTAAAACAGACGGTAGTCCACAAAGCATTCTGCCAAAATAAATACATTAATCCTTAAGGTATCACCAATTTGCTATAGCAGATTAACCCCGTTTTTCTCTTCTTAGGATGGTCTTTCTCCAGAAAAGCGATGGCAATGAAATTGGTCACAGAAAATCACTGAAGGATTCCTCGGCTGCAAAGTGGGTTTCATGGTTTTTATAAGGACTTTGTAATTTTATATGGTATTCTGTTATTATCACTGTTTGAATTGCCGTAGGCGGCCCAGAATCGTGAATCTGAGATGGGCAGCTGTATGTACTGAATAAATAAATAAGCTTACGGGGTGGGTTGTCTGCCTTGTCGTGCATTACAATTTGTTTACCTGAGAGTATCACCTTCGCCATCTCTCCGTGGAGAGCAGCTTGCTCGGAGGACCTATTCATCTCCCTTAGTCAAGATGAAAGAAAGACCGTGGTGACCGATGCAAGCCTTGGATCTATGGTTCCAAGAAGTCTAGATGAGCTAGATAAAGCAGAGAGGCTGCTCAATTATCCCTTCCTTGTTTCTTGAGAGAGCTAACGATTGGGAAAAGAAATGCCAGGATAGCAAAAGCTAACTAGATAAAGTCCAATAATGGATCATGATCTTCTAGCCATTGCTGGCCCATTTTAACCTTGGAGAACCACAATTTAAAAACAAATAAGCAGTCTATTTCTAGAAACACGAATAAAGAAATCAATACAAAGCACCGTTTATGCTGAGCTGTTAATTAGAATATTTTGATTCCAAGCTGCTAAAGGTTCAGAAACCTGCAGGCATCTCCAATTGCAAATTTAACTCTTTTTGGGGTCAAAAAGCCAGTTAAGCCACAGTTGCCTCTTCTGACCATTGTACAATTTGTCTGATGAAGTGGACTTTCAAGCTTTAATCAGGTTCCTAAATTTTACAAAAATGATATATTGTTTCGAAGACTGTTTAAATCAGAAATCAATTCTTGTTATCAATTCTTGTGGTCTGATTGATATATGTATTTCCTGACCCATGAACTAGGAAACAGATATTTCACGCAACCCTCGATATTATGCTTTTTCTTTTATAAGTGTCCTTTTCCATGTTTCTCATCTGTATCCATGGTCTCATTAAAGGTATGCCTCAGCAATAGAGCTTCATTATATTTTTGTTCTTGAAGAAAGTATCTTAGAAAGACCCTGCTCATTAGTAAGATTAAAACATTTGGGAGAGAGAAAGGCATATATGACCTTTGAAGGACACATCTGGTGGGACTATGGCAAAAATAAAATACTATTACAAACAAAGAAATGCAATTTGTCAGATGAAAAGAGATTTGACTCCAATAATTTTGGGTTCTGGAATCTCCACTTAATTGGAGATTTTTTTTTCATGAATTACAAAAGTCTGAAACTTAATATCACACTACATATGGGTGCACCAGCTCATACAGGCAAAAGTGTCTTGGCTATTGTTGATCACAGACTGTTTCATCTCTATTTTTACCTTCTTCTTCTTGTTTTTTCCCTCCTCTGCAGATTGAGATTCACAAAAGCTTCTGTCATAGTAACTGTGTTAATCCCTAAGGTACGTATAGGATTGTTCTCTCTGTTGAGTACAAAAAATTAACACAGCGGTCTCTCTGGAAAGGTTGACTATCCAATATCGCTGACAGAAAAACGATGGCCTGCTTTATCTTGATTGTTTTAATAGGATATTCCCAGTATTAAACTGAAATTAAACTCCTGACGAGAACAGATTCTGTCACAGAGCTAAAACAACTCTCTCATAGAGAACTTTAATAAAGAAGTCTGCAAAAATTCCCAAAGCAAATTTTCATATTGATGTATCGCTTTCTTTCTTCCAAAATAGTTGCAAACTTTTGACTTCAGCAAGTAAGGAGTCATCTCAAAGGGTTCTTGGAAGCGCTTTTCGGAAATGCTGAAATGACCTATTTCCAACCATGATCTGAATATGGGGTTGTAGAATGCTCTTTCCTTTCCACCTGCCTCAAGCCTTTCGGATCTGATTTCTCTCCATTGTCTTTTCAGATATGAGCTTGGAATGTAACTTCAGAAGGCTCTGTGGGATTCCCAAGAGGGTTTAATCCCTGGGATTGGTTCTTTGTGGTAGAAAAAGGACAGTTTTAGAGTCCCCTGGGTTTTGCTTTGGTCTCTGTGTCCTGAAAAAGGAGCTGCTTATGATGAGATTGGCAACTTCCCCTTGGGCACTTCAGCCGATTTCTGTGAGAATCGTTCATTTATCCCAGAAAGTATCTTGTTGGCAAGGATCTGGGTGCGTTCTCTTTAGCTGACCTGCTATCTTACCTAGCATTCCTAAGATGGGTTTGCTGGCTGCTCTTCTCTGATTCCATCCTGCAGCCAAAGCTCCATTCACTGCTTTACAGTTTGCTTAAAGGCGTTCTTCCCACGGACTTTTGCCCACCAGCCTGCACCTAAATCGGACAAGTTACTTTCTAAATCATACACTACAACAGACATGTCAAACACAAGGCCTGGGGGCCAGATGCGGCCCGCGAAGTGGTTTCATGCTGCCCGCGAAGCCATCCTGGAAACAGTGAGGGAACAGCCCCCACTGCCTTGGCCCTGACCCAGGCCGGCCGGGAGCCAAAGACTTAATAGTTAAAGACTTCTATCACAGCTTCAAGACACAGTTTGACTTTCCATTGGATGATTAAAAAAAAATATCAGGTGATCCAGGACAAAAATGTTTGAAGGCATCTTCAATTTTCCTATCCATTTGGAAGGGATGCTAATATATGCAAAGGAATGCTTTCTCCATTTCTGGCCCTTGCTTGTTCTGAAGACAAAGTGGCTTCAGCATCTTTTCTGTAGAATGAGCTGATGTTTTCCCCTCTGTCTGGACCACATCACAACTCACCATTCAGCCTTGTCTACACAAGCACAGTTGTTAGTACAGGATTGCTGCCCATACCACTGAACTAGGTTTGTCCTTCCAGCTCTTTCCAGCTACAGCAGATTGGAAGAAATTAAAAAATGAACACATGTGAGATTCACCCTAAGAAGAAATGGTATTTCATGCTAAGTAATCATGAAGTTTAGGAGCTGTTTTATGCTCAGAGGAGCAGATCTGAATATTCTCTTCAGCATATGCATTTAATTCTAACATGTTTGGCTATCATGTTTTATTAAATTGTGAAGATCTGGCCAATAATATTAATAATTTCATTTGATGGGTTGGCCATGAAGTCAAGAGTAGCACTAAGATCATAGATGCTTTAGACAGGAAATCTTTGCTTACCAGAGTTGGCCTCCATTGGAACAGTTCATCTTCAGACCACGCTTTGAGAAAATCTGATTTCAATAAAGGAGAATATGCGTAGCTTAGAGTTGAAATGAAGGGTCCTTGGTGTTCTCTGAGCTTGAGGATGTTACCTAGTTGGAGTAATGAAACGTCTGCAAGAAAACCAGCAAGCTCAGAGAGCACCAAAGACCCCTCAAAGACTGATTTAGCAGGATCCCAGCTAAAAAGGACTGAGCCGCGCCTTCACTTGCAGAGAAAACTGCAAATATTGTCCATCCAAAGCAAAAAAGCAGCACTTCTGTTTATAATCCAAGTTCCAGGGAAGGTAGTTTGCCACCCCCTCCCCTTGGCTGTCTGCCCCCTCTCCATGCTGGTGAGCAGGAAGAGTCCTGGTATCCACAAAACAGTGTCAGATTACAAAACGAAAAAATTGTGATATCGCCCATTTGAGCCTCCGCGTCTGAGTGTGGAGGGGGTGGGCCCTGGGAGGGGTTTGAGAGGAGAAATCCTGTGAAATATGCTAAACCAGAGTCTCTTCCCGACTCTTTCCAGACTCAGTCAAGGAGAAGCGCTCTCGGCAAGCGAATTGCTGTCCTCCAAAACACAAACCAGGATAGGTAAGGCAGCAATGATTTCACTGAAGAGATAGAACGGTTATTCAGGCAAAAGGAGACTGGATGAGCGTTTGGGTAGAGTTGGGTTGATCTTTCCAGTTGATGTCATTCTTTTTCTTTCTTCCTTCTCTTGATTTCCCCCCCCCTCCCTTCCCTCCAGGGGTTTTTTGCTGCTGTCTGAGTTGACCCCAAACTGACAGAAATGGGAAAGGCAGGGTTCCTTTACCGGACCCACAGCTCAGCCCTGGGGAGCCCATCCACTGGAGATCCTCAAGTCCTGGGCTGAACTCCTGCCATCTAACATGGGTCTGGAAAGAAACATTTTTGCTTGAAACGTTGGGAAATTACTTCAAGAGAGTAGATAGGAATGGGGGGTGTGTGTGTGATAGGATGGAGGATGAGGAGAAGTAGAGTCTGACAGACAAGAAGGTTCCCATGTTGGGGAAGGGGGAGATGAATAATACTGGAAGAGAAGATCTTTTGTCTGGTTTAATTTCAAGTCGTTTCTGGTGTTCTTGGTCACTTGGAAAATTTTTCAGGATTTAGAGGTAGGAGGTTAGAAAGGATCATCTTTGATCTTTCCTTCTCCTTCTCGCGCCCCCCCCAATTAACCCCTATTCGACTGTGAATCTACAGCTCTTCATAACTCTTTCGCTACTTTAAAACTTCCTGGCATCATCATGCATTGTTCCATGTACACAGATATATTTCTCAGGTTTTGGAAGAGGTGGAGAAAGTTATCTTTCCTTAAGGTCCAATAAATAATCTGTCCAACTTAACAGTCCAGTTCCAGGAATAGATAGATCTGGGACTTGGTATTAGTACAATTCCATAGATTCTTATCATGGATCGTTCTTATGGTGGACGATTTCAAATGCTTGGACAAGGCTAAATAAAATTATTTGGTAGGCTAGGTAAAGTACTACTTTTGGACACATGAGATTTGATTTCAATATCCAATCTACCATCACGTTCTTTTACTTTCACCTTAATGTCCCTTACAAGGTAATTGTGATGCCACAGGGGGGAAAAAACCCACATATATCTAGTAGCAAAGTTCCCTTGGACTATTTTGAAGGCAAATGAAAAATTAATGGGAAAAGCAAATGTAATTCCATGACCGTTAAGAAAAATGAATAGACAGACAATATATTAAGTTACTGAAGGGCCTGGAGCTAAAAGATTAAGGGTAGGATGAAAGGAAGAGCAATGGAACAGCTTGTTTCCTGGTGTTGTGGGTGCTCCATCACCGGAGCTTTTCAAGAAAAGATTGGATAATCGTTTCTCCTGGATGGGATAAGGTTCCTGCTCTGGGCAGGGGGTTGGACTAGAAGACCTCCAATTCCAGCCCTATGATTCTGTGAGTCCGATTTGTATCTGCTGCCAAAAAAGAGTCAGGATATTGTGTGCAATGAGAGGGAAGGACACAGTTGCCCTTGCAGACAGCTTGAAGCAGCATAGAGTTGGCATCTGTCTTCCTTACCATCAGCTTCCATTTTGAAAGTCACACTTCAGAATCTGTCTGGCACACTGGAGCCCAGATGTTCGAATCCACATTGCCCTAATGCCGGATTATGGATATTGGATGCCACATAATCATTGCTTTGATCCTTGACATCAAACAAATTAATGGCAGAGCAACGGTCTACCTTGCAAGGTTGTTAGATCTAAAGAAGAAAAGGCATTTGGTAGCTTGAAGGAATGGCAGGTAATGGAAATGCTATTTTAGCTGAAATCCAATCTACATTTACCCAGGACTAACAAACCTCAATGAATAAGCCAAAGGTTGTTTGTAAATAGACATGCATAAAAATTGCTTGGAATGGAGGAAACTCAATCTGTGAATTTGTATAAAGACGAGCTTAAAATGGGGTTAGGCAGTTTGTGGTTTAGTGTATTGTGAGAATCCAGGACATGAAATCGTAATATGATTTATAGTGTGTTGTGTGAATACTGCAGTTCTGCTTATGAAACAGGAGTTACACTTAGTTTAGTTGCGAGAAGCTAGCCACTGTTTGGGGAGGGTTAGGGTTATTTTTTTTGCCTGAAATTTTATTATCCACTTTCCCAGATGGTGAACACCATTTTTCAGTGAACTGCAGTTTAGAAGTAAATATATGGAAGGGACTAAACAGTCTATTTAAAATAAAAAAGATCCGCCGAGTTCCTTCTTTGAATAATTTTATTTGGGGAATGGAACTCTGGTGGAGAATGTGTGGGGTCTTGGTGATCTCTGAGCTTGCTCTTCTTCTTGCAAGCAGTTCATTGCCAGGTTAGGCAAATTTATCGGTTCAATTCCACACACAGTTGCTAGAGCAATAATATCTGGAAAACCACTAACTTAATGATGAGAAAAATGCAGCCACTGTGCAACCCCCCACTGTAATTACAAGCAGTCCTCAATGTGCAACTATTTGTTCAGTAACTGAAGTGCCACACCACCCAAAAAAATTGACTTGGGACCACTCCTCGCATTACTACTGCCACAGCATCCCTGTGTCACATGACTGCAATTTGGGTGCTTGGCACATATTTATAACGGTTTTGCAGCACCTCCGAATCCTGTACTTGATATTTGCAATCTTCCCGGCTGGTTTCCAAGAAGCAAAATCGATGGGAGAATCTGGATTTGCTTAGTGACCACACGATTTGCTTCACAACCACAGCAGAAAAGGTCATGAAACTGGGCACAACTCAACAACCGCATTGCTTAGCCATGGAAGTTCCATCCCAATGGTGGTTGTAAGTCAAAGACCACCTATATATTGGAGCAGGCTGAGCATGGAAATAGTATATTTTATTTAAACAAGAGAAAGAACTTGGCACCTGTCAGTTTGATTGCTGGCTGGCTGAAATTCTGAGAGAACACCAAACCTTGCAAGATGCCAGTTTTCCATTCTGCCTGAAATCTTGCAAGAATCCTAACTTCTAATGAAATTAAGGAGAGGAAAACATTTTGTAGGCTTTTGCAATCTACGGTATGAAACTTTTAACACATGTACTACTGTACTGGTATGTGGAAATGACCTTGGGAGACAGGAAGGAGAGCTGCAGATTGGACAACTGGAGTTTAAAAGATACCTTAGAAGGAGGAAAGGTATGGAAAGCACTTCAGAAGGAATTCTCCCTAGTTTTCCGGAGAGTAAGAGAAGAGGATATACTTTCAATCTTGTAAGAAGCAGTTGATTAGATAAAGTGAGAGCTAGGTTGTACCTCTTCTCTGGACTATCTTATAGAACCAACCTAGAACTAAGGCTAAATTTCCTGATAGTTAGAGCAATTAATCAGTGGAACAACTTGCCTCCAGAAGTTGTGTGTGCTCCAGCATTGGACGTTTTTAAGAAGAGATTGGACAACCATTTGTCTTAAATGGTATAGAATTTCCTTCTCTGTTATTCTAGTGCTTTCAAACACATCCTTTCTCTGTAGGCTTCCTCAGAAGTCCAGAAGAACTGATCGTAGACCTTTCAGGATTCCAACAATAGTCTTCCAATTTTATTATCTTAATATGATTTTAAAGCATGTGTCTTACCCTTGCTTTTGCGTCACTAGCTGCTTTGATGTCCTTCCATTGCAAAGAAAGACATGATGAGTATCTTTTTAAAGAAATTTTTTGAAATTATTTAGGAGGAGGGAGGGCTGTTTATATACGCAGATGGCATATATATGTTTAAAATTGCCATGTAAGTGGTTGGTCTCTTGATTAGAAAAAGACATCTTGTAATATTATCCAATGCTATCTATTAAAAAACCAGTCCTAGTTGCTGGAGCCAGGACTACAATCTGGTCTCTGATACTATGGCGTATTCTTAGCTTAAATTACATTTCCACGCTCAGCTTTTGCATTATGGATAAAATGTTGGCTCAGTAAAAGGGGATTGGATTTATTGGATTGATTTTTCCCAGGACAATAAACATGAAGACCTAAACTTTTTTCCATGCCACCTTGAAAAGCTATTATGCCGAATTAATCATCTCCAGAAGCAAAGAGAGAAGATCTATTCTAATGAGTTTCCAGCATTTACTTCTGTTTCTATGATAAAAACAACAACAGTGAATGTGTTAAGTGCATTTATGGAAGCATCTTTGCCCTGTGTCTATGTTCCTCTACTTTTCTGAGAAATGAGATACCCAGGACTAAAATGCTTACTCAAATTTAGTTTTCTTTGGATGGACATTCCTAGTGGCATTGTTTTGCCTTGTTTTATATCCCCTCTTCTCTGTGACAGCCCCTCAAATATTGGAAGACTGCTATCATGTCACTCCTGGTCCTTCTCTTTGTTAGACTAGACATACCCAGTTCCTGCAATTGTTCATCATACCTTTTAGTCTCTAGCCCCAATTAAATAATAATAAATAAATGGATAAATCTAATTTAGTTTCTTAAGAAAGAAAACCATTAATGACTTAGCTCTTTAACCATTATCCATCATAATTTTGTCTCAGTTCAATTTCATTTCTCCAAACCCTAATTGTTTTGGAGAAGAAAAAAAATTAAACATCTGTTTTATTGTTGTTAATCCTAAAGAGCTTGACTAGTTCTGATTTGTCAACTAGCTTAGTTTCTTGAATAGCCTCTTAATATGAAGTTGGAAAGGAGCTGTTCTTTGCAACCTACGGGTATATGTTCTGAACATGCTGAGATCCTAGAAAGAGTGCAGAGAAGAGCAACAAGGATGATAATGAGTCTGGAGGCTAAAACATATGATGAACGGTTAAGCAAACAAGGTATGTTTAGCCTAACAAAAAGAAGGCTTAGAAATGACCTGATTGCAGTCTTCTAATACAAGGATTGTCACAGGGAAGAGAGTGTCAATTTATTCTCCAAAGTACCTGAGGGTAGGACAAGAAGCAACGGAATAGATCCAACCTGGAACTAAGGAGAAATTTTCCAACAGTGGGAACAACTTGCCTCCCAGAATTGTGGCTGCTCCATCACTGGAGTTTTTAAGAAAAAAATTGGGCAACCATTGCTCCAGGATGGTATAAGGCAGTGATGGCGAACCTTTTAGAGACCGAGTGCCCAAATTGCAACCCAAAACCCACTTATGTATCGTCGGGTGCCGGGTGGGCATGGCCCATTGGCTGGGTGTGGCCCATTGAGTGGGTGTGGCCCATTGGCTGGGTGTGGCTTCGGTAGTAACGGCAGACTGGGTAGGACTAAAAAGTTCAATCAATCAATTCCAACTTTGTGAGATTTCCCCTCCCCCGTGAGAATTTGAAATTGATTTTTTCAATATTTTTTTTTTGCACATGGTGGTGGAGGCCTAAAGCAAAAAGGGTTTATAAAACCCAGCTGAAGGCCTAGGACTGGGGTGACGGCGCATGTGCCCACAGAAAGGGCTCTGGGTGCCACCTGTGGCACGTGTGCCAGAGGTTCGCCATCACGGGTGTAAGGACTAGAAGACAGTCAAGGTTCCTACCAGCCCTGTGATTCTATTATTCTAATCTGGGTCTTGCAAGCTTGTCTAAGTGTTATTGTTTCATTTGTGGTTGGGGGGGGGGAAAACAAGAGAAGGCTATTATTTACAATTGGCCATCCTTGCTCTTAACGATCGTTGGTTAATTTAAAAGAAATTGATCATGACAATAAAATCTAAATAAAATAACGCTTAGCAAAAAAAAAAAAAAAAGCCTAGCCTTTCTTTCTTTTCCTTTCTGATCCTCTTCCTCTGTCCACAACTGATGCTCAAGTTTGGGAGACTTCTCTTTCCTGGAAGTGTGTTTGTGAGCAGAACACATCCGTTGCTATGTTCTGCATGCTGACAAGGCCAGGAAAAGTTACGCTGTTCTAGGAAGTTAGAAGTGGTGAGCTTCTTCACATGGAAGCTGTTCCACACACGTGGCTTTCCAGACGGCTGCATGTGCAGCTTGCACGGAGAATGACAAAAGCAGCAACTCTGTGGGGACCGGTGGGGTTTAGCTCACGTTTTGATTCTCTCGACTTCAGTGCTTCCCCGCTGAACTGGGAAAGGAGCAATGCGGTTTGACAACCAGTCTCAAGCATAAATCAACTCGCTGGCTGAGCTAGAGGGCCTACAGAGATCTGCCTGCTGAGCTGCTTTCTGTACAAGTGGAAGCAAATTCTGCTGGGTCTTTTGTTTGCATTAAGTATGGTTAAAAAAATCAGACGTGCGGTAATGGAAATGTGCATTGTGACATAATAGCAGGGGGGGAGGCATTTGGGGAAGGGGAAATCTTTACCATAAACAGTGTTACTCTCCCCGCACAAGATCTGGCATTTCACTCTTCTTCTATAAAGCATGACTCGTAGGAAAACAGACAAAGGATGAACAGAGAGTTCCAGCCAGTTCCAGTTAAAGAAGTTTGCAGAGAGACCAGGGGTTAAAAAGGGCAGCATCTAGTTTGCTCTTTTCAAAGCTGTCTCCCTCCCAGCCAGGTGCAATTACAGTTTTGCCTTATTGTAGGTTGAACGGGCCAAAAGGAAACACGTTGCATCATTTTTTGATTACCAGAAGAAAAGAAAAAAAAGTCTTTTCAAAAATGGATAAATGACCCATCTCCTGAAGGTAATCCATAATGTCCGGAATAGTAATAACTTTTCCAGTTTCTCAAAATAATTCTCTTAGCAATTTGCCATGCCTGGTACAGCCAAAGCTCATGTCGGATTTAGCATACAAATAAATATGCAGAGGCTGCATTTTGTGGTCGCTCTTTCTTGGATTAGGGGCAGGTGGAGGAAATTATTCTGCATTTCATCCAGCAGATGAAAAGATAGTATTGCTTTCTAAAATTGCATTTGAGCCATGGTGGCGTAGTGGTTAGAAGGCAGTATTGCAGGCTAACTCACTGCCCAGTGCCAGGAGTTCGATCCTGACCAGCTCAAGGCTGACTCAGCCTTTTATGCCAGCGTTGTTAAGCGAATCACTGCAGTTGTTAAATTAGTAAATGGTTGTTAAGTGAATCTGGCTTCCCCTTTGATTTGGTTAGTCAGAAGGTCGTAAAAGTGGATCACACGACCCCGGGACACTGCAGCCGTCATTAATAAGTGTCTGAATTTTGATCACATGACCATGGGGTTGCTACAATGGTTGTATGTGTGCGAAAAACAATTTTAAGTCACTTTTCTAGTGCCGTTGTAATTTCAAGCAGTCACTAAATGAACTGTTGTAGGTTGAGGACTACCTGCAATAGGGCAAAATCAGTGGAAGCATGTGAAAATCCATTTGAGTTTCCATCAATTCCCCTTTGAATTGGATCTCCAAAGCGAATGTGTATATATACCCCTAAGCATCTACCTTATTTCTCAAATTTCTCCTTCATTTCTTTCCTTCCAGCAAAGCGGCCAGCCTACTTTCTGATCTTTGACTGAACTTAAGACTTGTCTCCAAAGAAATTTTCGTGCCCTCAATGGCAAGTTTCCCAAACTACCATTCGATCCTTTTCTTCTTGTTTGTGTGCCTGGACCACCTGATCCTTGCCCAGAATGAACAAAATTCCAGCACTGAGTCTCTTATTCAGCTCCGATTGGCAGGAGACAAAAGGAAGCACAACGAAGGGCGAGTGGAAATCTACTATAACAACCAATGGGGCACCATTTGTGATGACGATTTCTCCATGCAACCGGCCCATTTGATCTGCAGGCAATTGGGCTATGTGGAAGCTATATCCTGGTTCCCAGGCTCCAAATATGGAAAAGGAGAAGGTGAGGTGCTGAACAATGATTTTCTTTTGGGTTTTTGATCCCTACCAGCAAGCATCAGCCAGGTAAGGGGACTATTAATGTATGGCAGCATGCAAAGACTCATAACATTTTGGTAAGATATGGTAGACCAATGTTGGACTCTAGGCCTAGAGTCCACATGGTGTCCCATTCCTGACCCATCTAGGGCAGACCTTCAACCATGCTTTACTGCACTTCTCACAGTTCATTTCTGATGTCATTTATTGCATCCACTTGAGGATCTTGAAGCAGAAGCTTTAACTTACTACATACTGACCAAGAGAGAGGAACTATCAGGTAGTTGCTCCTGGCTCCTTGAAGTAACCCTTGCTCTGGAACTCCATGTTCTTCTCCAAAATCAGATAAGATACTTCCCTAGAGTAAGTCTAGCTTTATGGTAGTCTTTCACCAGCTTGAGAATATTTCAACAAAGTAATTAACTAGCTTACCTATCCATGTACCAGTGTAGTCCACCTACCTACCTTCCACATTACTCCAACCCAACTGTTGCAGATACCTTTATTAAACAACAAATTGTCGATGTAATGCTATGTGGGAATGAACTTGGGAGGAGAAAGAGCCACAGGCTAGGCAATTAGAGAAGAGGCAGCTGAACCTGCAGAAGTAATAAAAGAATCTCAGAAGGATTCGCCCTAGTTTCTTGGACTGTAAAGGTAGTGGTGGTCATGAAAATGTACTTTGATATTTGCAGGTTTCTGTTAATGTACAGAAAGTTGCAAGTCTCAAACCAGAAAGCAGAGTTAGTACTGGTGGGTGCACTTCTTCTCTGGACCACCTCATAAGGCTGACATCAGGGAAAAGAAGAATGGAATGGAATGGAATGGAATAGACAATATGGAGTAGAGTAGAGTAGAGTAGAGTAGAGTAGAGTAGAGTAGAGTAGAGTAGAGTAGAGTAGAATAGAATAGAATAGAATAGAATAGAATAGAATAGAATAGAATAGAATAGAAGCTGGAAGGGACCTTGGAGATCTTCTAGTCCAGCCCTGCTCAAGCAGGAGAACCTACCATTTCAGACAAGTGACTGTCTAGCCTCTTCTTAAAAATCTCCAGTGATGGAGCGCCCATCATTTCTGAAGGCAAGCTGTTCCACCGGTTAATTGTCCTCAGTGTTAGGAAGTTTCTCCTTGATTCCAGGTTGCTTCTCTCTTTGATCAGTTTCCAACCATTTTTTTTTCTTGTCTTGCCCTCTGGTGCTTTGGAGAATAGTCTGAAAAATAACATGAGTTCAAAAAAATATGTTTCAAATGTTACATAAAGATAATCTCTAATGCTTAGCTGTGTGACCTCCTGACGACTTTCCATTTGTTAGCCTTTTCTACTCTTCTTCCTAAAGGAGACAGCTTCGAAGAGGCTTCCACATTGCTATAGTTGGCCGCAGAGCTCAATCCTGTGAAATGCTTTCTACTCTACAAAGTGGAGAAGGGACCTCCTAAAAGAGAACTTTGCTCCTCTTTGTCTATAGGCCCCATCTGGTTAGACAACCTCTACTGCACGGGCAGAGAGACATCGATAGCTCAGTGTACCTCCAACGGATGGGGTGTGTCAGACTGCAAGCACACCGAGGATGTGAGTGTGGTCTGCAGTGAAAAAAGGATACCTGGCTTCCGGTTTGAGGACCCTCTGCTCAATCAAATAGAGGTAAGCAATGTTGGGAGTAAAAAGAGTTTAGCAGCGGATCATTGGCACCTTTGCTGAAATCGGCAACGTCCGCATTCAGGGCAGTTTGCCAATGCCCACAGCTGCATTGTGGTTAAAAAAAACTTTTCCGTATCTTCCTTTGGATTGCCTATCTTTTGCACAAAGAAACTTGAATCTAACCAAGTTGGATCCCCGATGAGCACATTGATACATCCATGGAGTTTTCTTGGGTTAGAGAATCAGGAACCTGACCTTGATGGAGATAGGTGTGCCTCATTTTACTGCTTTGACTCTGCTTAGCTTTTTCAAAATGAGTTATAGGCAACTAGATATTTCACCTGAGCCCTGCCAGTTTCATAACCTCCTAGTAAACAGAAGCACAAACAAATACTAAGAAGACCATTTGCTAAGTGTAAAATAAGCTAGGTACAGAAGCTCAAAGATGCATCAGCTTTATGTTTCTATTTTTATTGTGTTTTACTATATTTCATTTTGATAACCTGAAAGTACAACCAAGAAAAATAGCAGGTAACAAAATAGAAGAGCTAAAGAAATAGCAGGGGGTTGGACTAGATGACCTCCAAGGTCCCTTCCATCATCATCATCATCATCATCATCATTATCATCATCATCATCTCTACTACTACTACTATTACTACTACTACTATTGACTGGTATGGACTCTCTGCCCTCCACCTTGCTTAGAGGGATCAAGTCTTTCCATACAGGAATTCTTGAAATCGTTGCCATTTTCTAAAGCAGATAAGTAGGATTAGCTCTCTTGATCAGACAACAGAAAAAAATCCAGCTTCTTTTTATGGCAGCCCTGAAATAACCATGGAAGAATGCAGAGGATGTTGGGGTGAATGGAGATTGCACTGTAACCCTACTGTGGAAGTTTGCCAAATATTCAATAATTATTCAGTTCTTACTTTTCTTGAGGATGCTAGTATCGCAAAGTTGAACCTAATATACAGGGGGTCCCGACTGGGACCAAAATTTCCATTCCTAAACCAGGTCATTGTTCGATGGTAGTAGTTCACAAGGATGTTTCAGCTATGAATCACTTTTCACCAGTTCTTCTGCCTGTACTATCCCTTTGTAAAGGTTCAAAGTGTATTGGGTTAATTCAAGGCCGCTTTTTTCCTGATGGATGATAAATTAGTTGAAATTAACCTAACTCTTCCAAGGAAGTTGCTCAGTCCATCAAATCTGGGGGAAGCGAAAATGGGAAAGGAGTCAGGCGCTTTGTGTAGGAAGACTGTGTAGAAGCAAAGAACTTGGCTAAATTATCAAGGATGGCTCACACTGTTGTACCCATGTTTTCTTAATTTTGTACCTCATATGGAAGTAGCTTAGAAACCAGCAAAAATATCCCCAGTTAACGCTATCTACTGTTCAGTTTATATTCCTGATTTTGTTAGGGGGCTTCACTAGGTTCTGTTTTTGTGGGTTTTTTTTTTTTTTTTACTTTGGCTGGCTTAACAAACATGTGTTCTAAAATCTGTTTTCAGAATAATAGTAATATAATATGGACACTTACAAAGAGGACTTTGTGGCTCAAAGGAGAATGTCTTAATTCTTTCTGGCTTTAGCGTTTCTGCTAATGCAAGAGGATAAAAATGTATGCGAGGAATAGGATGTGTTTATTTAAGAGTTTCTCTGACACATGCTAGATGCCGCGGAACACTTTCAAATGGGGTGCAATTGTTTACAAAACAAAATGAAACATACTCTGCCCAAAACACGCTGCACATGAACACACAAAATCAGAAACCTATTTTGAAAAATGTGAATTCTTCAATGGGCTAAAACAGACTGTCAAAATACCATCAAATAATTGAACATTGTTGAGAGCGAGTTTGGTCTTGTAGCTAAGGCGCTAGGATAGAAGCTAGGAGATTCTATTCTATTCCTCCCCTTAGTCATGGTGAATGTGGTCTAGTCATTCTCTTTAAGCCTACGACATTAAGCTCCCATGACTGGACTTGTAGCTCCGAACAAATACAAATACAAATTTATCTTTGTTCAGAGCACTATTCCATGTTTAAAATGGTGCTTCTCAGCCCAATAATTAGTTGATACAAAATAAACAAAATCTCCTTTTGAGTTGAGTGTGACTCCATGCTGTTTTCCTGGCAATACTACAAAAATCTTGTGTGTGTGTGTGTGTGTGTGTGTGTGTGTGTGTAAGTGTTGAATTTCCTGTCTAACCTAACATCCTGAACTTTGTTGGTGGTCTCTCATCTGAATCCTAAATAGGTCAACCCACTTTAGACATTTTGAGATCAGCCAAGGTCAACTAAGCAACCTAGACATTTCCAGCATCTCTTTTCTTTGGAGGCAAGTATTTCAGAAACGATATTGAATTTCTCAGGGAAAAGGAAGCAAAAATTATATACATGCATACATACATACATACACACACACACACACACACACACACACATGTAGGTCTTTGGTTATTCGGGTTTTCTCCCGTGTCAAATTGGAAGTCTCCTGGCGATGTTTCAACGAAGTCCCATTCATCATCTTCAGGCTGGTGTTTTCGGCTTCTTCTAGGAGCAAGCTTCCTTCTTGCTCCTAGAAGATAAATATTTGCTCCTCGAAGCACGAAGCTGAAAACACCAGCCTGAAGATGACGAATGGGACTTCATCGAAACATCACCAAGACACTTCCAATTTGACATGGGAGACAACCCGAATAACCAAAGACCTACATATATATATGTTTGTATGTAGGTCTTTGGTTATTCGGGTTTTGTCCGGCGTAAAATTGGAAGTGTCCTGGCGACGTTTCGTCAAAGTCCCATTCATCATCTTCAGGCTGGTGTTTTCAGCTTCGTGCTTCTAGGAGCTATATATATATATGTTTTCTGAGGTTTTCGCGGGTGTTTGTATGTAGGTTTTTGGTTATTCGGGTTTTGTCCTGCATATATATATATGTTTTTGTCTTTGTCTAAAATGGCCTCATTCCTTCCACACCTTGTGAGTGATGCCCATTCCCTGGAAGGAGTTGTTTTCTCAGCAGATAGTGCTAAGCTGTCCAATATCCCACAGATGCTTGATGTGTATCAGCATGTGGACTAAAAACAACTCTTCCCTGGACACTGCAGAAATTCTTCCCTTCATAGAAAAACTGACTGTCTGCAGACAAGACCTGAAGAGACAGTTGTGTAACTGTTGATCTTCATTAGTTTGCAATTATAATATCAGTTCACTGCAGTCATGCTTCAGTGGAAGTTTATTTGTCTGGCTTTTTTATTTCTGAAGGTTCTGGAAAAAAGAGGTGTAAATGGCATTAGGAAATAGGAGTCTATTTTTTTGGTTTTTTTTTTTAAAAAAAGACATACAGCTGCTCATAGAAGATTTTTTTTAAAGAATCACCTCAAACATTCCTTTAAAAATATTTCATGTTGACTTTCCCCTTTTCTATTTGATATAGCTCTTGCTGCTAGCTGGAACAAGTCACTGTGCAAACAGAAAGTTTTTGTGGCTTTGAATTTTAGCATCAGTTCAGCTATGAGTGGAGAAAGTGGGGGGGGGGGCAGGTGGCATGCAATGAGGCCCCTCTCATGTGTTAAAGCCAGATTTTGCCATAGAAAATATGCCATCCAAACAACAAGAGCCACAATTTTAATTATTCCAAATGTTTCTGATCTAGCGTCTATTTAACTAACTCACTAAACTTTGCCTCTGTGCCCCCATATTCTACTGGAATAGGTCTCAAAGCCCACTAATCTCCCTAAACTGTCTGCTTCTAAAACAGGGGTCTTCAAACTTGGCCCTTTTATGACTTGTGGACTTCAACCTGGTTGCTCTGTTGGGATTAGGGAAATACCTGTGTGTAATGTGTTGTGCACAGTCTTTCTAGCCCAACTTTGCGTGATTCTTGGAGCAAATGTTTATCTACAGTGAAAATATCCTGCCAGGACCCGAACGTTTTTCCAATGATGTAATTAAGTAGTTGTACATCATTAATCTGTTCATTAACTTTCTTCTCTTAAGGCCATCTGCTGGTAAGTCCAGTAAGTCTTAGTAAGTCCATTCAGATTGTTTGGCCATCCCACAAATGATGTTTTAGGGGTGTCTCAGTGGACTAAGATCAGATCATTTACACTGCTGTGGTTTTGTGCACAGAAGCACTGGGGCGCCTTTTCAGCATCTACAACTTAATTAGGAGATGAGAATGAAAAACTCAAGTCCAAGCTAGATGAAGCAATATAGAGTGTGACCAATTAGCATGCAGAGTTTAAACATGTTAAATGGCTACCCTACAGGGTGGGATTAGGCCATAGTGTTCAGTAAGAGAGACTTTTTCCTTCTTCCTTAAAGTGGTCTCATTAACCTCTTGGCATTGCAAAGTTGTTCTGGCTTCAGAGAAGACAGGTCCCACTGGGAAAAGACAGCGGTTGTAGACTATTTTGTGCAGCGGGAAGATGTGACCTGGTGCTAGTGAGCTCATTTTGCACACCAAGGGCTCTATATTCAGTTCCTGTCCAATCTTCTGGAGGTCCTCTGCTTTTGATCCATCTCGGTCACTGTCAATCTGAGCAGGGACAGACAGCCAGTTCTTTCATTCAGTGGAAGACAAATCTATATGTTGATCTGTCAAGAGTTAAAGGTGCTGTCCTATCTTACTGAATCCTTTGGAGCTCATGATAGGGTCTAGCAATCCTTTGGAATTTGAAGGAGAAACCCTAAACAATCCAAATTGCAGGCTATTTTTTTTTAATGATTTGTTGAGTAATATAAACAGAATGTTGTCCCAGCTTGGACCAGACTTTCCCTAATCTATATACTGTATCTATATACGTCTCTCGGTTGTGCATAGATACCTTATTCATAATCTTTCGTTTTAACAGCTGACTGTGACCGGCATTTCCCCCTTCTCTTCTCAGCTTTGCTTCCTGCCATGTTTGCATTTGTCTGGGCACCTCACATGCCAAGAATGTTTCTTTTTGACACCACTAGGCTCTTGGAATGTGCATGATACATTC